TTTTTTTTTTTGGGTTAAGAACCTACTTCATTCTCCGTCTTCGCGAAAATGTTTCCGCGAAATCGAGTTTTTTTATTTTGCCGATAACTTGAAATCGGCTGAGTGAATTATTGAACATGTTTTTTCATTTAAAAAATATTTTCGGGAGCTTTGAAATAAAATATCACGCATGGAAATCGCATGATCTGATCCAGCGCTCTTAAAAATTGAGCGGGAAGTTTAAATCGCAGTTGAATTGACTCATTTAGTCGAACCGCTCCATCCCCGATAATTAATTCTCGAGATAATTAGGATTGGAAATTTTAATTGAAAACTTTGAAGTGGAAAATATCTGGAGAAGTAATTGACGTACAGAGGCCTCAACGCCGGCCTCCTGATGAGAACAAATTTCTCCGATACTTCGATGGAATATTTCCCCATTTCATAAATTTCCCTTTTCTCCCAATTTTTCCATTCTCACGTGAATTTCTGATAACTAATTATTGGAGAGGAGGTGAAAAGTTTTGAGACTCGCCACACATCTGGATTATTAGTCCTCAACCGAGAAAACATGGTGCAGTCGTCTCGTTATCGTCACTAGAGCTGCGGTTTCCCAGAACCTTGAATATCCTATAACTATGACAGGTGTGTGAAGATGGCAAGGACTTGAAGAGAACTTTCGTAACGAGGAAACTTCAGTGGTGTCTAGTCCCTCTAACTATAACTCCAGGTGCATGTGCATCTTACGATTTTCATTTATTATCTCAAATAATAAGACATTACAATTAATTGTCACCGTTATAAAATAACTCACTCATAAAATAAGTGAAACATTACTGGATAAATAATCACCAATCATTTGGTGTCTTCAAAGAGCAGACGTACCATCATAAAAATCAGTGGAGCATTAAAATCACTCATGAATAATGGCATAAAAATTATTCATCAATCATCCAATATGAGTGGAGACTATCAATAAATAAAATGGGTCATCAATGAATGGAGACAATGAGAATATAAAATCATTGCAACATTTTCATTCGATTCCCCATCAACATCCAAAAACATTAAAATCCCAGAATTATTTTTATTTTTTGCGGTTGTGAATCTGAAAGTTCAATTCCACCTGACATTTCCGGGCACCCAACAATTCGAAATATTATCACGGGTCGTTCATTACATTCTCATGAGATTTTCATCAATAACATGGATGATAAAATGAACGTACAGAAAGGTAGAGGAGCGAAACAAATGGAATTCAGTGGAAATTGATACAAACGCTTTCTCCACCCACTATTTTCGGAATTGAACACAAACAGATGGAGTAGCGTGTTATTCCCTCTGGGATTAAAAGAGGGTTTTCTAGGGACTGATGAGGGGGTACAGGGGGTTGAGAGGGGGATGGGTTTGGATGAAAGGCCAAGTGAGCACGTTTCCAATTGGCCCCGTTAATAATTCCCAGGGCTTTAGCGCACGAAACTGCCATTGGGTCACTAAATCCTCCACTCTCACCTACATAACCCAAACTCTGGCATTCCATTAGCACTGCATACACAGATTTTCGTCTTTCCAGTAGTATCAACGTATACCTTTAATTAAAAGCTTGTTTATACCTCTGGTTGATGTCTTATCGCGGTAATTAAACGCGTAATTACACCCGACTTACGACAATTTGAGGGATTTTTCATTCAAATTTCGCGGTCTTCCCGGCATCTTCATTTCGTGTACAGTAAATCAGGAAAAATCGTTACCGCTGTTATTATTCCACATCAATTTATTTTATTGTTTATTTATTATTTTAATTGTTGTAATTAAACCGGAGAAATATGTGAATATTTGAAAAAAGGGTAAAATTTTTTTTGCCGAGTGGTGAAAAAATCGGGAATCGGTTGGATTTTTTTTTTCATCGAAAAAGTGCACTCAGTAACGAACCATATCACGCCTGTTCGACCCATCGCGTGCCCGAGTTTTTCCGGGCAATTGCCCCGGGGGATTGCCAGGTTGAATCCATGAGTCTCCTCGCTACGGCGTATCCGACGCATATCCACTTCTCGATTTTTTTTCATCTCCTCTCGAGGTTGGAAAAAGGGCGAGAGACGTGAAGGAAATGTTATCGTCAAGTCCTCTTCACGTTTCCAACTCCCTCACGTTTTATTCCATTTTATTTTGTTCAACGTTTCTGTTTGTTCTTGGGTTTTTTTTTTTCATCGTGTTGGGTGGATGCTGAGGGGTATATCTGTAGGTTCTGTGAGCCTCGCTTGATGCCCGATGTATTCCGCTTGAGATCTATCGAAAACTACGATCTCAACGCAACCTGATGAAAAATCGTCGTCTGACGTGGAAGCTGCGTGCTTTGAATTTTTATTTCAAGTTCGACGGGATGAGGATCATTTTGCTTGAGATGAGTTGAGTGGGGTAGGATGGGTGATTTTAATGAGTGGAGGGATGTTTGAAGTTTTCGGGCTTCGGTCGGATGTGGAGAGCTCAGGGGGAGGGAATCCCCTTCGGGCCCGGAGATCTTTCCAGTGGGAGTTGGGAACTGTAGCATGGGTTGACGAGATTTTTGGAGGGTTACAAATTCAAATAAGGAGCTTCAATATTATTCCAAAATGGTGGAATTCCACTCAGCCAATGGGCAATTGTAGATTGAAAATTCTTAGAAAACGAGAAAGCATAATATTCCATAATTTCATTTTTTTTCCTGCCATAATTTCCATTTTTTTTCCTGCCATAATTTCCATTTTTTTTTCTGCCATAATTTCCATTTTTTTTCTGCCATAATTTCCATTTTTTTTCCTGTCATAATTTCCATTTTTTTTTCTGCCATAATTTCCATTTTTTTT